AGGCTTGCACCTGGCACGGGCACCGTAGCCAGCCCGTGCCCCTTTAAGGGGTCCGGGGCCGGGAGGGGGGCATAGAGTTTCCCTGGTGTTGGCCAGAGTGGCCACCAGGGAAACCTGGGGAGGACTAGCCTCCCACTAGTTCGAATTAAGGGGCTACACACCCCTTAATTCGAACTAGTAAGTTCGAACTAGGCTTAATCCTCGTAAAATGAGGTTTTCCTAGTTCGAACTAAGCGCTCCGCTAGTTCGATTCAAATTCGAACTAGCGGAGCGCTAGTGTAGCGGCTATGAATGTTAGTCCGAACTAACGTCCGTTAGTTCGAACTAACATTGTAGTATAGACATACCCTATCATTGGAGATATTTAAGAGCAGGTTAGATAGACACCTGTCAGGAATGATCTATGCAATACTTGGTCCTGCCGTGAGAGCAGGGGACTGGACTCAATGACCTCTCGAGGTCCCTTGCCATTCTAGTGTTCTATGATTCTATGATTAGCTTCATTGGAGTTGCCTGGTGTCCATGCCAACCACACACATCACACCTGTACTTGAATCCCAAAATGAAAGTGACCCTTCAGTATGCTACAAACTCAACTGAATAGAAACCAACTAAAACCTTTGCACACATCCATGTTAGGCACTTTTCACAGGGGTGCAATGAGAAACCATGTTCCCTTTCAAAGTGCGCTGCTTGATTCCTACAGGGCCTGAGACAACTTCTTATACCATCACTGGGATTCCTATTATTTCAAAGGGAGCAGAATCAGGCCCCAAAGTCACAAACCTTCAACAGCTCTGTGGGATGAATGCTTGTTAACCTCAAAGGAAGCACTACATTTCAAATAGCCCAGTAATTGGGGTGCTAGCACTCATTTCCTCTAATCAGCTGTGTTTCTAGTTTTCCTTGTTCTATGCCCTGTAAAAGCTGGTGAGTTTCTCAAGACAAGAAATGCTCTTTTATTATTAGTCTCTCTATACACTGTAAGATATCAAAACTGCTATAATTTAACATGTGTAATCTAAACCAAAGACAGAGATTTAAAGGATGCTCTGGCACTGTGAATATTCCAAGAAGCAAATTCAGCACAACTGGTTCAGAAGTCACCAAGTAATTGTGTTACAGTGAAAGATAATTCTGTAGCCCAGGACTCACTACCAGATTCAACAGATTGCACTACAGAGCAAACGATATTTCACATCCTTGTAGGACACCATTCTCTTCATTAGATTTGATCTGAATGTGAGGCTCAGACATGACCCCGAATGTTTGCTGAGTTTTGCTTTTAGGGGGATTTTTAAACACCCTACATCTTAAAGTACCCTATAATATTTCAAAAATGCCTTGTAGAAAGAAATAAAAGACATTTACATTCAACAAATGTCCACAAGAAATGACTAAGAGTAAACAAAAAAAAGGACTGTTTTCTGACTAAAAACCTTATATAACAAGGAGAGAGTAAATAACAACATGCTTATTTAATCTCTGGTTCATAATTCTCTTGGACAGATGGGTATCTTGAGATTCGACCAGCTATTTTGCAGTGCTTTTCTTCCCAGTATCTGTTCTTTTTCTCTTTTCCTTGCAAAGGTCCCACAGAGACACAGGGTCTCTATTTGCGTCCAAGGTCATGTTTTTCTTCTTCTCCTTCCAGGACATCATTTCACCCTGAATATCTAATCCAGCCGTAATAGAAATAACATAACAGTAATCTACAATATCTGCCTAAAATGTTGCTCTTTCATGTGGCGTTTGGAGCAGGACTACTGCAGCACTATTTATGGGTTTAATCAAAGCATCAGACAGACAGGAATAGAATGATGGAAGGAGACAGAAAGTACCGTATAATAGAATATTTCATAAGAAGAGCTCAAGCACAATAGCAATTGGCATTTATTACTGAATGATGTACTTGTTTTATAAGGGAAGGAGTGTGGCTCTTTGAAGATTCTCTTCACTCTCCTCTTTGGACCCTGTTCCAAATCTCAGTGAAATCAATCATGCTTTTCACTGCTTACAGTGGATGTTGAACCAAGCCCTTTCACTGCCTCTCTTTCTGAAATGTCCCTTTGTTTTTGCTGTAAATTCTTCCAGCCATCTCTTCCCCAGGCTTCTCTTCTTTTAGCCTCCTTAATCCCTTTCCCTTCTTCGGTCAGTCTCTACTTGTCCCAGCTGTGCTCATTGGCTTTGATTAAAAAAACAGTTACAATAAAGATTGTACGTAGAAAGAGGAGAACTCAATCCACTTTACAAAGGAGGTTGGTATATATGTAACCACTTACA